AGAAAGTAGAAAGCAAAGACCTAACTGCATATTATTTGAGCTACATTTACATAGCATGATCAGTTGTAATGTTTCTTGTTTTACTTTCTAAGTATGGCTTCCATTTCTTATTTATTTCAAGAAAAGTTATTCTGATTAACTCAGTTAAAAGAAAAATAGTACTCTGCCTCCAGATCACCTCTGAAAAACTATTAGTTCATAATTTTGCCAAGCTATTCACAGCAGGAATCTGATAATCCCTCCGTGGAGAATTGGATGATTTCTTTGCAGTGTTGATCTGTCATAATGTAACACTTCCAAATTCTTCTTAGTTAAACCATAAAGAAAAAGAAAGTCCAAACTCAATGAACAATCTATTCACATTTTCTGTTGTTATGGATGTCACTATTTAATGAGGAAAGGGGCATCCAGTTCTTGTTAAACAGTATCCTGAATAGTACAGTGTGGAACAAATGAAAAATAAAACATGCATTTCTGAGATTGATGCCAATTTTCCTGCTTCTCTTTTGTCTGGTTTGGTATGTTGAAATCTCAGTTAATGCTCTTGACAAGTATGTACACTTTCAGTTGCCAGCCAGGTCTTAACTTTCACAAAAGAACTGCTGGAAAAGTTCTGGCCCTGAGACAGCTGCTGAGATAAAAGCCACCTTTCATTAAAAACGCCACTTCTCCCCGGTGTGTGGTGTGCCCTAACGTGCAGCAACACAATTACCAGAAGGTGATTCTGAAAGCAGAGGCAGAAAGAGAAAATTGCTGGATCTATGGTTGGCAGGACAGGGTCACATGAAGTTGGCCATACAATTGCAATCATGCTGGTAAGTCAATATGGGTTGCCATGGAGAGATGGCTATAAGAAGAAAAGCAGATGGTGGTGGTTGCGGCGAAGACAAAGAAATAAAAGCCCCAAATCTCCTTCCAAGTAAAAGTTAAATAGAATTCAGCAATTTGGGGAAGAATGACATTGTGTATACTTGGAAGGCTTATATTGCTATTTTTATCCATTTAGTGCAGAAATGTACTATTAAAATCATTACATGATTTACCTACTTAATTCCCAGGTCTGGATTTACCCCTTCCACTTCACTTGCCAAACGATTCCCCTTGTTTCATTCAGCTCGTGTCAATACTCACTTTATTTACTAACTCTATTACGATTTAAAGCAAGATTGCCCGCTAAGTATTTTCACTGCAAGTTCTCTCAAAAAGTTTGTCTTTTCTTTTCCTGAAGAAAAAGAAATGTCATTTAATACAGATAAATTGTGCAGCCGCAATATGCAAACCATTGTTATGTTCCTTATTTATATGCTATGCTATACAAACATAAGCTGACCTAGACCTTGGATTATTAAACCCTACAAATAGTTTTTCCCTCTAATGTTGATATGTTAAAAATGAGCATGTTCTATTTTTATACTGAACACATTCTTCTTCTTTTTTTGGAGATAGAGTCTTGCTCTGTTCCCCAGGTTGGAGTGCAGTGGTGCAATCTAGGCTCACTGCAACCTCTACCTCCTGGGTTCAAGCAATTCTCTTGCCTCAGTTTCCTGAGTAGCTGGGATTACAGGCACTCACCAACTTGCCCAGCTAATTTTTGTGTTTTTTACCAGAAACAAGGTTTCACCATGTTGGCCAGGCTGGTCTTGAACACCTGACCTCAAGTGAACCAGCCTCCTTGGCCTCCCAAAGTGTTGAGACTACAGGCGTGAGCCACTGCGCCTGGCCCTGAAAATATTCTTATCGATAAGTTTCTAAAAATGTACAATTTAATAATGGAAACTTAGACTTTAATCACTATTATAAGACAGGATTTCTACTTTTACTTTTTCCAATGTTAAGCATTAGGGAACAATATCTCTTGATGGAAAACTCGATACGTGCCATTTCCCACTTCACCTCAGAATACAGAGATGACATGTGTTAGTAGTTTCCTAATAAAGCACATTAGTGGGCCGGGTGTGGTGGTTCACGCCTGTAATTCCAGCACTTTGGGAGGCCGAGGCAGGCAGATCATGAGGTCGAGATATCAAGACCATCCTGGCCAACATGGTGAAATCCCTTCTCTACTAAAAATACAAAAATTAGCTGGCCGTGGTGGCACACGCCTGTGGTCCCAGCTACTTGGGACGCTAAGGCAGAAGAATTGCTTGAACCCAGGAGGCAGAGGTTGCAGTAGCCAAGATTGCACCACTGCACTCCAGCCTGGTGACAGAGCAAGACTCCGTCTCAAAAAAGAAAAAAAAAAAACAAAAAAACAAAACCACACATTAGTGAAATTTTGCTCCCTTTAAAAAATAGACACAGAGGGACATGTAATGGAGACAATACCTTACTTGAGATTAGAAACATCTATGGAAGACTTATGGTATCGTGATAGAATAATTTTCTAAACATCACTATTGTTAAAATCAACTGTAAACATCAACTTTTTATTTTTAAAAAGTTTTTCTTACATCAATGAGCTAACAAAAAACTAAGTAGTTCTGAACTTGAACTTCCGTTTCCAAGATTCAAAGAATGGGAAAGAAGAGTCAAATCCTAAAGGAATACTCAAGCTGGGAGTCTAATAGAAGAATCTTTTAATAAAGTAGGGACCCCAAACATCTACAACTTCAAAGTAAATTTGAACTAGATCTAACTCATTTCCAGAAGGTAAATCAAATTGTCTGCCTCCAGTCTTCATACTAAGTGGAGAAACAGAAAGATTTCTCCTGCATATTCACAAAAATATGTCAGTCTTCACATGAATTTATAAACTAAATTCACTCCACTCGAGTAATTCATAAAACATATAAGCAAGAATTTATTTTAAATGGTTCTAGGCTATTGGTACCTCAAGGCACCAGGCAAACACAGATGAAAATGCGAAAACAAATAAAATTCCTATCTGAGATTATTTAAATTCGAAACAAATCACAAATTTTCCCAAAGACATGCCTAATGATACTCCTGGTGTTGTTCATTAGATTTCTAAACTTTCTCATCCTACATAACTGCCATTTTGCACCAGTTGACTTACATCTCCCCACACCCCACTTCCACCCCTGGTAACCACCACTCACTCGCTGTTTCTATGTATGTGGCTTTTTTAGATTCTAAATATGTGATATTATGCAGTATTTTTCTTTTTCTGTTTGGTTTATTTCACTTGGCATAATGCCCTCCAGGTTCATCTATTCTGTCACAAATGGCAAAATCCACACACACAAACACACATACATGCACACCTCTAGCTATGGGAGAAGATTGATATGTCATTTTGCTTTACTCTAGTAATTATTTCACTGTGCATATGTATGCCACAATGTCATATTGCATACCTTGAATGCATACAATACAAAAACTCCCAAAGATAAAATTTCAAAGAACTAAATTCACAATAAACAGTTCAGAATACATAAAGAACCAATGTATCATCCATGTGAGGTGATAGAGAAAACAAATAGCTGAATTAAATCCACAAATATATTAGGCATAGAATATGAAATAAGTATAAGATAATATGCCTAAAAATAAAAGAGATTTGAAGTGAAGAAGGAGCAAGATGACTAAGCATATTTGAATAAAAAACAAAATAGAATTAATAGAATTAAGATATATTATTTTTTAAAGAAAACTAAATGAATAGATTTAGCAGATTCAAAAGAATGAAAGAAAAGAGTGAATTGGAAAATAGTATTAAGGATATTATCAGAAGGTAGATTAGAAAAACAAGATTTAGAAAGTATAGGCAATTGAGAGACATGGGGATAGAATGAGAAGTTCTTTGTTACTTATTGGAGATTTAGTAGGAAAAAAAGACATAAACTAGGTAAATGTTTGAAGAGGAAATGGGTGTGAGTTTTTAAAAAATGGATGAAAAGTACTAATCATCAAATTCCAGGAAGACTTCAAATTACCAGGAAAAATACATTCTCTAAAATTCCACACAAACAGATATTGTGGTAAATCTTCAAAACTTCAAGAATATAGAAGTATTTTAAGATCTGATAGAGTAAAATAAAAGTGACAAATTTTCTTCAGAAGAAAATACTTCTGTTAGCATCATGAGAATGAAGCATATTTTTAATATGCAGAAAATAAAATATACTTAGTGGAAAATGTCTAAAACTATTTCAATAAAATAAACATACCTCCAAGTGAAAAAAAAATGAAAAAATTTTCCACCAAGAGGTCCTCATTTAACAAATTGGAAAGTATATTATTTAAAAGGAAAAATGTTTTTCAGAAAGAAGGTCTGAGAGACAAGAAGAAATGATGAACAAGAAAGTGGTATATATGTTGGTAAATCAGACACTAACATTGACTGAATAAAGTAATAATAATGTCAATAGAATAGTATACATTAGAAAATACCTGTTTGAGGAATTGTGGTGTTCTAAGGTTATTATTTTATCTTTGGAAGAGCTAAAAGATAATGATTAACTTCAAACCTTGGTAACATATATGTATGCAACCATTTTTAGGGTAACCAAATAAAGTTAAGTAACACATACATATTTGAAACAAATGAAGGGGAAAATGAAAATGGAAAACAAGAGATTAACTCAAAAGTAGGACAAAAAGTAGAAAAAATAAGCCTAGAAATGGTCAATAAAAAACCAAACTAGGATAATAGAAACAAAACTAAATATATCATTAACCCAATAAACATAATTATACAAAAGAGTTGACTTAAAACACAAAGATTTCTCAGGCAAGACTGAAAAATAAGTCTAGTCATATAATATATAAGAATATAGAAAGTATATAATTGAAAGTATGAAAAAGTTGATATCAGATACTGAAGCAAAGCAAGGTAATATATCTATACAAGACATAATAGAATTTAAGGCAAAAAAATCAATATTATAATGGATAAATATAAAATATTAAATTTGTCAAAAAGTACAGCCATATTAAACTTATATTAATCTAAAAAGTAGCATCAAATATATAAAACAAAAATTGTAAAAGCTAAAAGATAACGCAAAAATCCACCATCTTTTGGACTACTTTTAAAAAATTTATTTATTATACTTTAAGTTCTGGGGTACATGTGTAGAATGTGCAGGTTTGTTACATAGATATACGTGTGCCATGGTGGTTGGCTGCATCCATCATCCGTCATCTACATAAGGTATTTCTCCTACTGCTATCCCTCACCAATTCTCCCACACCCTGCTATCCCTCCCCTATCTCCTCACCCCCATCAGGCCCCAATGTGTTACGTTCCCCTCCCTGTGTCCATGTGTTCTCATTGATCAACACCCACTTATGAGCGAGAACATGCAGTGTTTGGTTTTCTGTTCTTGTGTCAATTGGCTGAGAATGATGGTTTCCAGCATCATCCATGTCCCTGCAAACCACATGAACTTATCCTTTTTAATGACTGTATAATATTCCGTGGTGTATGTGTTCCACATTTTCTTTATCCATAATAACACTGATGGGACTTTGGGTTGGTTCCAAATCTTTGCTATTGTGAACAGTGCCACAATAAACATATGTGTGCATGTGTCTTTATAGAATAGAATGATTTATAATCCTTTGGGTATATACCCAGTAATGGGATTGCTGAGTCAAATGGTATTTCTATTTCTAGATCCCTGAGGAATTGCCACACTGTCTTCCACAACAGTTGAACTAATTTACACTCCCAGCAACAGTGTAAAAGCTTCCTATTTCTCCACATCCTCTGCAGCATCTGTTGTCTCCTGATTTTTTAATGATCACCATTCTAACTGGTATGAGATGGTGTCTCAATATGGTTTTGATTTGCATTTCTCTAACGACTAGTGATAATGAGCTTTTTTTTTTTTTTTTTTTTTTACCATTTCAGGGGTAGTATAGAAACCTTACCTTGTTTTATGTCTATTTACTTCCCCACTTTTCTAATATAATTGTTTTAAATAGTTTCTCCACATGTATTTGGAACCATAACAGATGGTGTTATAAATCTTACTTCCACAGTAACATATAATTTAGAAAGCTCAAGCGGAGAAAGAAAACCTACTGTTTTACCCATATCTGTTATTCTTTCTGCTATCCTGTTGCTTCACAATTTCTTATTTGATCATTTTCTTTCCATTTTGAGAACTCCCTTTAGCCTTTTTTTCAGGGTAAGTTTGCTGGCAGCGAATTTTGTCAAGAACAAGTTTTTCTTTATCTGAGGCTGTCCTGATTTTTACTAATTCCTAAAGGATATTTTTGCAGAATATAGGATACTTGATAAAGTTTTATGTTTTTTCCCAGGATTTGAGATATATTTTGCTTTTCATTCTGGTTTCCATAACTTCTGATGATAAATATTTTGTCATGCATACTGTTTTCTCTGCAAGTAAGCTATTGTCTTTGGTGGCTATCAATATAAATTTATCTGTTTAAGATTCTGAAGTTTAATTATGATATATCTTGCCATGAATTTATTTGGGCTTATTCTTGTCAAGGTTTACTCAGCTTCTTGAATCTTTAGGTTTATTCCTCTTGCTAAATTTGGGGAATTTTCAGTCATTATTTCCTCAAGCATTTTTTAGCCTTAGCCTCTCTCCTTTCTTTCCAGATTCCAGTGACTGAAATGTTAGATATTTTGTTATAACCCCACAGGCCTTTCAGTCTTTGTTCATTTCTTTTTTCAGTCTATTTTCTGTATGTTTTTCATACTGAATAATTTTTATTACTTCATCTTCCAGTTCTTTTTTTTTTTTTTTTTTTTTTTTTGAGACGGAGTTTCGCTCTTGTAGCCCAGACTGGTGTGCAATGGTTTGATTTTGGCTCACTACAACCTCCATTTCCCAGGTTCAAGCAATTCTTCTGTCTCAGCCTCCCAAGTAGCTGGCATTATAGGTGCCCGTCATCACACCCGGCTAATTTTTGCATTTTTTAGTAGAGATGGAGTTTCACCATGTTGGCCAGGATGGTCCTGAACTCCTGACCTCATGTAATCCACCCGCCTTTGGCCTCCCAAAATGCTGTGATTGCAGGCGTGAGCCATCACTGAATCTTATCTCTGTCCCCTCCTATGTGTTGTAGACCCGACCTACTGAGCTTTAATTTCAGTTATCATAATTTCAAGTTCTATAATTTTTTTATTCTTCATATCTCCTATTTCTTAGCTGAGACTTTTTATTTTTTGCCGAAGATCTTTAATTTCACATTTGTTTTAAGCCAGTTTGCGGGGGGTGGGGGCGGTGTGCGTGCGCGCATGTATTTGTATGTGGTGTTTGACTAGAGTACAGTGGTTATTGTCTAAAAGTTTTCTCTTTTGCTATGCTGCCCATTTCCTGTTCCTGTGCCTAAAGAGAGCAGGATTTGGAGGCAAGGGGCTTTTTTGTCTGCACTCCTTTACATTTCCGAGTTACCAATTTTACCTCTTGCAAAAATGGGATACATAAAGCAAAAAGAAAACCCAGGGACACCACCTCACCATTTCTCAGGCTGCTAGACGCTTGGCCTTCTTCTCTCCACTTTTTAGAGTTATTTTATGTTTATTGTATGCATGATGGTTAAAGGTTTTAGATGTACTTAGCAAGAGCACTATAGAAAAGCTCATCATCACTGGTCATCAGAGAAACGCAGATCAAAACAACATTGAGATACCATCTCACGCCAGTTAGAAGGGCGATCAATAAAAAATCTGGAGACAACAGATGCTGGAGAGGATGTGGAGAAATAGGAACGCTTTTGCACTGTTGGTGGGAGTGTAAATTAGTTCAACCATTGTGGAAGACAGGGTGGCGATTCCTCAAGGACCTAGAAATAGAAATTCCATTTGACCCAGCAATCCCATGACTGGGTATATATCCAAAGGATTACAAATCGTTCTACTATAAGGACACGTGCACACGAATGTTCATTGCAGCACTGTTTACAATAGCAAAGACCTGGAACCAACCCAAATGCCCATCGACGATAGACTGGATAGGGAAAATGTGGCACATATACACCACGGAATATTATGCAGCCATCAAAAACGATGAGTTTGTGTCCTTTGTAAGGACATGGATGAACCTGGAAACCATCATTCTCAGCAAACTGAAAGAAGAGCAGAAGATCAAACGCCGCATGTTCTCACCCATAGGTGGGTGTTGAACAATGAGAACACATGGACACAGGGAGGGGAGCACTACACACTGGGGTCAGTTGGGGGGAAATAGGGGAGGGATGGTGGGGGTGGGGAGCTGGGGATAGATAGCAAGGGGAGAAATGCCAGATATAGGTGATGGGGAGGAAGGCAGCAAATCACACTGCCACGTGTGTACCTATGCAGTAATCTTGCATGTTCTTCACATGTACCCCAAAACCTAAAATGCAATAAAATAAATAAATGGGGAAAAAAAGATATTTTCCAAAGAGTAGTGAGATTACAACTGTAGCAATAAACATCTAATTTCTAATTCCTTTGGGAAAAAAAAAAAAGAAAAGAAAGTCTACTAAATCTTCCTGCAGGTGGAAGTCTTCTCTGTGTTTCGTTGAATTTATTCCTATAAACTTGCAACTACAGATCAAAAAATCCATGAATGAGGTTCAACTAAAAAGATGTCTATAAAAACACTTTATAAGCTCCAATATTTAAGCAATGTAAGAATTAATCTAAACCTTCAGAGAGAGGCCATACTCTGTGTAAAAATCTGAAGGAGGTCCTCATGCTGGTTCCAATAATAGTTGTATTTCTTCGCTGTGTTAGGTGTTTCTTTAGAATCTCTGTAAAATGAGGACAAAAACACCCACTTCATAGGATTTCTAAATTAGGATTAATGGGCTACTATATGTAATGCCAACCACAAAGTAATGATGGGCAAATACTAACTCTTCTTCCCCTAACTTTATCAGAAATGGAAATAGATTTGTAAAAACAGGAGTCTTTATTTTACTTTAAAATACGAGGTTTGTTGCAACATAGGTCATAGCATTGTAAATATGTGTTTCTGTAATGTTAGCAATACTTTCAGCTGAAGTATGAAACAGTAATTAATTATACTTATTGCATATAAATCATCAGAAAAGGCATTATTCCTATAAAGGAACTTACAAATATGGATTCTGACTGGAAGCAAGAATGAAGGTGTGGCTGACATAAAAGCTGAGGGTGTTCACAGTGTATCTCCATATGGCCACCTGCATCACAGGTCCAGGACTTAACATGTAGATAGTTTCCTGTCACTAGCAGAAAGCTGAGAGACAGAGCATTTGATAGCCTCTGTTTTATTTAGCCTCTTTATAAACTTATATTCTTTAAAACCCCTGAAAACTAAGAAGCTAATCAAGCTTTACTGGTCCTTCAAGAGACATTCCAACCACCACAGAGTATAAGCACATGATGAAGAGAAATGAGTGTCCCTTGAGAGTTGTTTAAAAGAGTTTGTCCCTCGAGATGTTGAGGAATAAAAACACCCACATAAAGTTGATGAAGACCATTCACCAAGTTAGGTCACAGCTATCCGTTAATGGTAAGTGTGAAGAAGAAAAAAAAATAAAATGCAGTGTTACACCAGAAACACCTAATCTTTGTCTAATGTTTTCATTAGTTCTACAACCAAAGACACATTCTGTTGTCAGTGATTTACTGCAACTGTCAGTGGTTTACCTTTTCCAGGATATGAACAGAAATAGAGTACTCAAGGAGCTGCTACATGATGAATTTAGAATAGCAGAAGAAAAGGCAAAAAGAAAGATAAATAGTTGATGGTGTTAACCTAGCTTAACATCATCAACTGTGCCTTACATAAGTGTTTATTGTACATTCTGACTTTCAAATGAGAATCACTTATCTATAGCATAAGTACTTTCACATGAGAAGGTTTTTTTCTAAATATTATTTTCCAAAGAGGAAACAATTTCATTTTCAAACAAAATTTCTTGTTCTTGCTGAAAATGTGCACTTTAAAGAGATTTTTTAAAAGAAAAACTTCTTGCAGGTCATCTCTACCACAAATAAAAATGAGAAAATGTTCTTAAAGAAACTTTTGGCCCATAACCCTGTCTTCTGTCATCTCATGCTGGGTTGCCATTTATGTAAAGCCACCATGGGAGTCCTAAATGCCATGGTAGCTGTGTTCCTGCCAGCTTGTTTGTGGGATTGTGTGGGTCACCCATACTAGGGGTTCAACTTTAGTGCTCTTAGATTCACGATGACTCCACTAGAGGAGTCATCAATTCAAT